GAGATAAAAGCACTCACCTGCAACTGACCAAGGAGGCTGAAGAGTTCGAGGAAGTCCAACTTCAGCAGCTCAGATTGCTGTTTGGCGATGTCATTGGTGCCGATGTGGATGATGACCAGACCTGATTCTTTTGAAAACCTTACATCTTTCCACAGGTCTCCACTTCATCAGACATCACATAGACTCAGAGCTGGATGAGACCAGCACAAACAGCGGCCTGACCGACGAAGATGATGGATCCATGGGGTCAGGAAAGCCAGAAGCAGGGCTGGAGAGGTACCTTTCATGTCCATTCACTGGAGGTGTGGCTCTATTGCATGGCGTTCCTCACATCAAGAAGCTGTCGATCAAAGTCAATACAGCTCTTCCTGCATCTGGAGCTTGTGAAGGACTTCTCAGTCATGCAGGACTCCTGTTCACTGCTGAACAGTTACAGCTTCACAGAAAGAACCTTGAGAGCAAACTGCTGCTGAAGCTGAACCATCACCTCACTGAGTGAAGAAAGGGCACATTTTTGCTAAATATGCAGAAACAGATGCACACCCATACAACTTATGGTAAACTGAGCGGCCTTGTATGAACATATGTTGAAGATGCCTCGTTCTGTTTTCTCTGAGGCTGCTGTGCCATTTGGAGCAACAATGAATATAAAGTTTACAGCATATCTTGTCACTGGAAATTGTTTGCACTGTTTATATATTTATATTATTTACTGCAGGTATTGGTGAAAAAAGCTTTATGTTGTGAAAAACTGAAACCTGGAAATTAGAATTGTTGTGCCTTATTTTGTTGTTTTTACATATATTCCTTTTGAAAATAGTAAAATTAGTATATTTATTTATTTTTGTTTGATAGCATTTATTTATAAAATAAATCGGACATTTCAAACAGTTACTCGCTACTTGAGTAGTAGTACTTTTTTACTCTTACTTGAGTAACTTTTTTGACAACTACTTTTCACTTTTACTTGAGTAATAATGTTTTAAAGTAATGCTACTCTTACTTGAGTACAACTTTTGGATACTCGACCCACCTCTGGTTCTCTTAGTGAGAGACTATCTCTCCACCATCAGGCCGCTCAGCGACGCGTTCCGATCAAAGATCACCGGTGTCCCGTCTGCACAGCTGTTTTATACGTGAGCTGTGGGGCGTAGCCGGGCGTGCCGGAGTGTCTTAAAGAAATCTCCACACGCCACGACCAAAGGGGGTCGTACCGCGTACATATGGAATATGTAACGGTGTGGAGAGATAGTCTCTCACTAAGAGAACCAAGGTTTCACCGTAACCGTACGATCTTCAATAGATTTGATTAAAACAGGCTGGGAACAAGATTTAAATCAGTCATTGTCTATGGATACATGGTACAGTTAACTGCACATCCCTATGTTCCTGCCACTGTCTTTTACAATTTTAGGTTGTGCACAGGGTCCATCTCTCCAAAGTCAAACTATCTCGTATGTATCTGAATGTGGACCCCACTTGTGATAAGTGTGGAGGCTTCCCTATCCATATGTTCTGGACGCGCCCTAGCCTTGAAGGATTCTGGAGAGATATATTTCAAACCTTGTCCCTAATTCTTGGATATTATATGGATCCTAATCCATTATTTGTGCTTTTTGGCACCACTGGGGAGGCTGATGCACGCCTGACCGTTGCACGCTCTCTTTCGCCTCCCTTGTAGGGGGCAATTCCTGAAATACTTTTCCAGCCTTCAGGTTGCAAGCCTAACTTCCAGCATTACTCAGTAAATCCTCCCCCTTCTTTTTTCTTCTTTCTTTAGTTCTTTGTGTTTGTTTTATTTTGTTCTGCTTTGTCCTGTTGTATTTGCAATGGGATTTTTTTGTTTGTTTTTTCTGTTTTTTGTTTGTTTATTTCTCTACCTGGCCTGAGGGATAGGGCTACTATCTTTAATTTTTCTCAAAAGTATCTTTGAGAGAAATTATGCTGTCCACAGACAAGCCAATGACCTTTCAAAGTCATGCATCCAAAATATGAAATAATGTAATTTTCACAGTTCTTAAATAGGAAATTCTTCTAACTAGTCCTTTTGATCATTTCAGCATTTCTTGCTTTATCCATCCATCCATTCGCTTCTGCTTCTCCTTTTCAGGGTCGCAGGGGGCGTGGAGCCTATCCCAGCTGTCATAGGGCGAGAGGCGGGGTCCACAGGTCACCCGTCTGCCACAGGGCCAACACACAGACACAGACAACCATTCACAACTATGGACAAGTTAGTGTTTCCAATTATCCAGCCCCACTAGTCAGCTAACCTTTTACATGAGGAACTTTTACTTCTTTCTACACTGTGATATTGATCATGTCCATCAGTGGGAGGAGTCACTAAATAACCAAAAGCTTATGGCTGAGAATATATATCCATGCACTCATTAACCTATTGTTTACTGCTGCTCGTGTCCACAAGCACTCAAAGAGTTTATTCATATTGACAAATAGCATATACAGCATCCTTTTAAAAAGCACGTCATGGAGGTGGACAACGGTGTCCGCATCTTCAAGTAAACTGTAAATTTGAGCTAGAAACTAAAGGCCAGTAATTGTACACAGGTTATTGAGAAGCACAAATACAAATATATATACATCATGCTGTTTACAGCTTACATGTTGGAAAAGCTGCACAGCTGTACGTTCGCAGGGGGCAGGTGCACAGGCCCAACCCTCCATGATGCCACGCTACACGTACTTGAAAAGCACAGACAATACAAGCAGAGGTTGGAAAATAGTCATAAAAATGTACATCCTGTACAATCAGTAGGTGTCAAAAGATGACTATAACTCAACTAGCCACTCTAATTTGACCACCAGCATAGCCCCAGAGAGGGTCTGTGACAATAAGCTTGGTGATGATGCTTTAATGCTTCGGTTATTTGTTTAGCAAATACAGGAAACTTGGCTCTAGAAGACCGTCTCCTGGATCATCCAATCAAATTACATGAAACCCCGTTTATCACGTTTGTTGTTACAGGCCTTGTTGCGCTGCTGCGGTATCCCCTTGGAAATGCAGCATAGTGAAGGACGCCTTCAAAACTGTAACGACCAGACACTGCAAGAGCTTTTCCCCCCAAGCAGTCAGAGCCCTCAACTCACTTCCACCAAAGATACACAAACAAAAGAGAACACAAACACCTTACAGTACTCACCAAAAGACTCAAACACAACACAAACTTCCACAAATGCACTACAAACCGGACCTGGGAACAATCTGCTTATTTGCACACTCAGTCACATAGTTACTGAACACATCTCAAATATATTTGCACATTTTGTCTCTTGCACATCTTCGTCCGTTCTCGTCTAAAATATCCTGACTCATAACTTGAACCTGGTATTCAGTACCTGCTGCACAATCCACTTCATATAGTCTCTGCCCTGTCTGTTTATTCTACATGGATAAAGTTAGTAATAGTACCTTTTTATCAATCATTTGTAATTCCTAGTTTTTATCTCTTGGAGATATATCATTTATACTCTTATAAATGCACGAGGGGGACTCGGGGAGAAACAGCATCTCGGTACGCTGTATACTGTGTATATTGTTGTATTGGCAATAAAGTTCTTGAATCTGAAAAACTGCAACAAATCACACTGACCTCAAAGAGACAACAGCCAATTCTTCACCTTCATGCATGGAAACAGATTTATAGAACCTCCAACTAAAAGTGCAACTCCTGCTCTTAATCACAGCCTTCAGGGGAAATGACAGCGCTTTGCTTAAAGTAGCTTGCTGTATGGTCTTTTCATGACGTGACACTGCAGGTACATCGTTCTTCCTAAAAGGGGCCAAACCCAAACAGATCACCAGACAAAGCATAGCTTCATTTTTCCACAATATATTTTTAATGAGAAATACTGAAGACCTCGTCAGTCAGACCAAGTGATAAATGTAGTTTTCAGTAACTTCTGTTAAAGAAACCAGCTGACATTGTACTACATCACATCATGTCAAACAAAACGATAGAAATGTGCTGTTAAAAATTTATTGACTCAACATCTTTAAATGTACATGTGTGGCATCAGCTAACATATATACAGACATGTTTACCATATGTTGTTTCAAAAACAGGACACTCCGGCTCTCTTCCAAGTCAAAAGTATGTTCAGTGGAAGGTTTAGCACAGTTAACTTGAGTGTGCACCACATACACATTTGCTTTGGGCAGTTTTATGGAAATCAATGTCTACAACCTGGAACCCTGAGGTTTACTATCACATTACTCAGACAAGCAGTATGGAACAGAATGACAGACTCATTTCGGTGGTAGTTTACTGGTAATAGGGCCGATACCGGCCCTGATCCGGATGGTGCGGACCAGGCATTTGGCCCTGGGGAGGGGGTCCCTGCATTCGTGGAGGTGGGGGTCCTCTTGGGGCGGGCCACATCCCAGGACTGAGCCCTCCTGGCTGGGTGAAGGGCGGACTGAGGGTACCCTGGTCTTCAGGGAACTGCTGCATGGAGTTCGGGTTATAATGATGAGGTGGTGGGGCATTAACAGGAGGGCCGCTATGCTGTGGTGGAGGTCCTGGGGGTGGGTGATTCATGTAAGGGGGTATCATGTGCGTTGGTGGAGGAGTAATAGGTGGGGGCGCTGTGGACATTGGGGGAGGAGGGGCCTGGTTGTACACCATGTGTGGTGTCCCAGAGGCCTGGGGAGGATGCTGCATTGGGTGGGTAATGGGAGGCGGCGGGGGAGGCGGGGGACCAAAATGCTGTTGAGGTGGTGCCATCATATGGTGAGAGTGCGACACTACGGGAGGCTGGCCAGGATAGTCCCCGGGGTGGTGGTGGGGTGGCTGGCCAGGGCCTGGCCCAGCAGAGAGGGGCTCGCGAGAGGAAGAGGAGTCGTCTTGAATGGGCACAGTGATGAGATTACTGTGCTTACGAGTTGTTACCGTGGCAATGCGGAATGTCTCAGGACCCAGAGAAGGAGTTGGGGGCGGGCCTTCGTGAGCGGAGGGAGGTGGCGGCTGACTGTAAGGATCATGGCTCCCGTGCTGGAGCGGGTTGGTGAGATGGACATGGTTCTTGGGTAAGTGAGGTGGAGGCAGGCGGAAACGCTCAGATACATCAGAAGCAGGGGGCAGGTGCACGGGCTCCTGGCGGCCTGCAGAAGACTTGGCAGCCCTCATGTGGCGGTGGTTGACATGGGCCTGGAGGTCACGCTGAGACAGGTAGGTGCGCTTGCATCCTGCTACGATGCTGCACATGTAGAGGGAACCACGTTGGCACTGTTCAATGCGCTGAACCGGGTCTGTGCAGTTATAGAGGGTCAGGCTGCAGAAACACAGACAAAGTCAAACAGCTCAGTTATTTAGTTGGACAAGTTCGCTGTTGATCTAATCAACCTATTTTTGGACTGGGGGACTTCACAGTACTCACAGACAATATGCAAACTCCACACAGCCTGTTCGTGGCTTAACCCGCAGGACCTTTTTTCATGAGGCCACAGCTCCAACCACCATACCGCCCCAACTGGTCAATGTGGCCCTTTCCACTGGTACCTACTCACCTCGACTCGGTTTTCAGGGTTTTCCATTAGGTGGTTGTACCAGGTGCTTTTTTAATCCCTGCTCAGCCGGGGTTGCAGTGAGTAGGGTCAATGCAAAAACCTCTGTGACCTCAGCAGATTGCATGCCACTGACTGTCCAGTCTACGGCGTCACTCGCTGAGTTAGAGGAGCAACTCCATCAGAAAAATCAAAGCTGCCATTTTTGAAACCTGCCAACATTATGAAGGCTCGTGAAAACCGACTTCATGGCCCTTAAGCCTGACAAGAAGCCACAGGCTGAGGTATACCATTGCAATTACTGAGCTGTATTTGTGTCTCAAACAAAGTCAGAGTTTCGGACACATTGCTACAACAACCCTATGTACACTGAGGTGCGACTCGGTTGTAATAGAAAAAGACCAAAACACAGTCGAGTTGAGTGGAGCTGAGTAGATACCATCTCTATTAGCCCTGTCCAGGGTGTACTCTGTTCAGCCTATCACAGCCTGCATGGGCTCCAGCCTCCCTACAATCCTGAAGTGGATGCTGTAAGTGCTGCCTTTAGTTTTCCTTGCTATCAGAATGCTCAGTAGGCAGTATTTCTACGAGCTCAGCAAGTAAAATATTGGCCTAACACAAAGAACTGTCTTCAATCTGGTTGAGGAGGTAGGTGGAAAGACTTTAACTGTCAGAGAGAATGATTCAGAGTGCTTCGTGCACCTGGCAGTGTGGGTGTCAATCTACTCGACTGCAGGTTTCAACAGATTATTCAGGTTCCCGTTTCACTTTTACAGGACAAAAAACTTCAGATGTTGGCTTCAGATTTTCTTGAGGTCCCATTCCTCAGGTCACTAAGGCTACGTCCACACTAGCCTGGATAGATTTGAAAACGCTCCGCGTCCACACTAGTGTTTTCAGTCGTTTTCACAGAGTTGTGCGTCCACATTGAAACGTCTGAAAACGCTTATGTTCCAGTCCTGCGCATGCGTGACGATTCGACCTGCCTCATTTCCGTCTGCCGCTTATTTACTCTCCGGCTCTTTGAAACGTGGCGGCAGAATGTCGATGAAAAGCAGCGAGTTTTTTAAATAGACTAACGATGACGTGGAGTCGTTGCTGTGAGTAACACAAAGGTACAAAGTTGCAAAAGCGAGTGAGAGTTAAAGAATTTAAAGAAAAGCTCTCTGAAGCATCTACAGACTGATATTCATCTCTAACAGGGCTGTCAAACAGAACAGCTGCTGTGTAACGCCCTCCGCTATCTTAGTTTAATTGGTCACATGACTGCATCACATGACTAACACTACAGCTGGGCGATAGAACGATAACGATATGTGTTGCAAAATAACTTTTTCTCGATAGAAAAATTAAACTATTGCGATAGGCCTCACCGCTCTTGTCCTCTTAAAAAAGAACAGCCAATCCAAATTAAGTAGCGCAGAGCTGAACCAATCACAGCCGCAGCGTCACGTCACGTGACTTGTTACGTACAGCACAAGTGCCAAGCCGCACATGTGTATTTGTTTGGGAAGCAGCCAGCCGCCGTGCTGCCCGGGTAATGGAGGAAATGAGTGCGCCGACTAGAGAAACATCAACAGAGCGTGACCGAAGGTTACCGAAGAGAAAACAGATGATGGTTCCAACGCCGGAGAGATTGTCGAATGGAAGAGCCACAGAAGCTCCGTAGTGTGAAGGTATTTCTGCTATTTCAAGTCTGACAAAAACAGAAGCTGCACTGTAAATGTGCCGAAAGCAAGTCTGGACATACAATAAACTGGTGCAGCTCAGTCTCTGACTGGAAGCGCTGATCCGTCATTCGGCTTTTGTCAGACTAAAGTAACTGTTACAACTGTTTGAAAAGCTCAGCTACACAACAAGGAGAGATCGAGAATTTCCTTTTAGTTCTCAGTTTATTTGATATTGACAAAAGTTAGTCAGTTTTGTCTGTTCTTCTGTAAAACAAACTAAGATTTATTTGTAGAATTAATATTTTGTTTCTAAGTGGAATTGACAGTTTAGTCTGTTTCGTTTGTTCTATTTTGAAACTTAAACGCTTTAGCGGCTGCCTTTTGTGTAGTTTGCAATATTTGCCTTTATTTATCTGAAAAAGTCTCATGTTCCTTAAGTACATCTACCCTGTTGAACTTATTATGGGAAATAAATATTTAAATCAAAACAAGCTGCTGATTAGTTCACATTTTACTTGTGAGCAACGGCACATTTAAATCTTACAAATATAGTTATTTGGCTGATATCGTGATAGATATCGTTATCGCCTGAAATGAAAAAAACATATCGCCCAGCTCTACCACGCATCATCGTTTTTGAAAGTCTCTGTTTTCGCTGTCCACACTGCGACGCAAAAGCACCGTTTTCAAATGTGTGCGTTTTCAAAAGCGTTTTGAATACGCTGCGTTTTCCTTGAGCAAAAACGCCGTTTCAGTGTTGACGGGAGGCCAAAACGGAAAGAAAACAATGTGTTTTCAAACAAAAACACATTAGTGTGGCCGGAGCCTAAATCAGGGACATCTTAGTGGCTTTATACTGTAGTGATTTTATGCCCCTGCTGCTCAAAGTACTTGCAGGAGTCGACTTTTCTGGCATCCAGCCATCCTTATTTTACCCTCATTGCCATGTACCAAAGTTAAATAGTCTCACCCTGGGCACATCTTCTCTCCTTTCTTCTCATGAAGTAGAGCACAGTCATAACAGAAAACATGTTTGCAGGGAATCTGAGGAGTCAAATTGGCAAGCGTTAGACAGTAACATGACTCTGAGATGTTGTGCAGAGAAACAGCAATAAGACATGTACCATCCGTCCATACAGCTGAATAGGGAGACCGCATTTGTCACAGAAGTGAATCGGAACGTCATCCTTTTCTCCAATCAAGTTTAACTGTTGAAATAAGAGGACACAAAAATATGACACGCATGTAATGACCACTAAAACCAGATCATTGTATACTTTTTCTTTAATTCCAATACTACACGTCTTACTGGCGTGCCAGATGCTGGTAATGATGCTACTTAATCATTAATATTGTTTCCCCTCACACAGCAGACGTACCTTATAGTCCCAGAACAACGGTTGTGGAAATCTCCTCTGACTTGCAAACACATCACCAGCTTTAGTTCCACAGTCAAACCTGTCCTCTTGCTTAAAGCCAAAGTTATCTGTAGCAGAAAGAAAAAAACAAGAGTAGCATTAATAAAACAGTATTTAAAAAAACCTGACACTTTTCCCAAAGAGGAGGGCAAGAACATAGCAGTGTCACTATCCAAAGGAGCTTAAAATATTCTGTGTGTATAAGACAATTACATGTACATGGAAACTAAAATGAAAGGTACAAATAAAATCTAAAAGGCTTACTTGATGCTGTCCTCATCATCGACTTCATGATTACTTTGTTAAAAAAAGAAAAAGAATCAGCATCGGTATGGCAACAACAGAAACTTCACATAAATAACATTTAATAACATCTAAACTGAATTTATGAGGAAAATAATAAAAAGGACATCCATCTTCTGTACTGTGTGCAAGTGCCGCAGTTAATCCTTAAACAGCATGATGACATATGGCAGTAGGCTGTCACAGTGCTACTGTGTGCCAACGTATTATGATTCCAGACTGGATGACTGTAAAAGCATCAATAATACAAGTGTTACACTTTCTGTTAAACTGATACCGTTATGATGTATTGTAATTGATACGTCACGACAGGTCAGGCCAAGAATAAATGACGGCTGTGAGCGACAGAGACAGCTGTACAAAAGTACAACAACATACAAAAATGCTTGGGATCCTTTTTTTGAGTATTTTGTATCAAGTCCAAATAACAAAGACGAGCCAGCAAATATGGATGAACTGTGAGCTCTATCTGCCCAAAGAAAGGTTCAAACTACCACTGCAAGTGTCACTGCACAACAACTGGTAAAGAAAGATGCCCACATGTCAACCTGTAAGTCTGTTGCTACCACTGGCACATCATCTCTGTTCAGCCCACGAGTACGTCGCTGATACCTGTGTAACACGTCATCGAGTCTACAATGACTCCTACCACCAGAAGAAAAAATGAACGTTTTTTTCTCCCTCCACAGAGATACTTAATATACTGCATGGTGGCTCCGTTGTGTAATGTTTTTTACATTTGCCTAACTTGTGAAACATTCGTGGTTCAGGGCCAGGAGGAGAGACAAAGCACACTGTGGGCAGCCAAATCAAGTGTGCAGCCCAACCCACTGGAGTGGGGATGAAAGAAACGTCTACTCCATATCCTGCACATATATCCCAGTGAAATGTGACAATGATATGAAAAAGGAACATCTCAAAATAGGGCTGTGCGATATGACCAAAATCTCATCTCCCGATATCAGACATCTATCGTCCGATAACGATATAAATCACAAAAATGTAACATTTTCTGTAAAGTCTGTGAATCTCGGGCAGCTCGACTTGGTGAAGTGTTTCCTGCCTGTTCTAACGTTTGAGTCTAAGCTTTATTTTTTAGCACCTGGCGGCTCTTTTTTACTTCTCATCCGTAAATAATCTGCTCTTTCACGTGATTCAGTTTATTTTGAAAAGTCTCAACAGGATCTTGAGCTTTATTGTGAAAGGTTTATGTGGAACATAAACAAGCGGACACGCATATAAAAACAGGCGCTTGTCCGTCCGTAGTGTGGTTATATTAAATATAAGAGAAAGAGAGAACTTTAAGAAATGAATAATAACTACAGTGACCATCAGAACCATGAAAAAATATCGCTGTAAACAGTTTATTTTGCGACACCACGAAACAAACGACAGCGTAAAATGAAACAATAGATGTTTATATATGGTTATATCAAACAGCCCTATCTCAAAACTTATATTGCAGAAAAGGAACTCCATTATTTTGAAAAGAGGAAAGGTTGACCTTTACAAACACCAGCTGAAAGACACCAACAACAATGCATTAGCTACTTTAAAAACTAACCAACAAAGAGTTGAATATCATTAAGCATGCTATGTTTACTTTACAGGCAAACGTACTAGGCTACCTACATATTATAGCTGCTCAGCCACAAAACCCACAGTGCAGAGTTTGTGCTGGTGTGAATGGAACTCTGCATTGGCACTTTTTACAAACCATGCACCTTGGCACTGCTTTGTGGCTTTATGTGGGCTGCAAATGTAAGAAACATTTCATGAATTGACTTATTTCAACTGCCACAATATTTTACAGCTCCACTCTTGAATTCAGTGAATGACCCATGTTTGTAAAGGCAGCTAGCTATTCAAATTTGTATACAGTGGCAATAGGATTGAAAAAGTTTTGATTAAGAGGTGTGGCCCAATACTTTTGCCTATACAGTGTGACATCATAAAAACATTAGTGCTAATGAGCATTTTGTACCACATAGTGTGCCTACCATCTTCTCCAGGCTCACTTTTACAAGTTCTGCTGACAGGTCTCTGGGGGCGCTGCTGAGGTTTGCTCCTTATTGGCTGCTTGGACAGAAGTTTGATGGGGATTCGTCTGCGAACATCCGGGCCTCCCAAACTCCCAGAGCCATCGCTTCCTTGAAGATCATTGTCTGTGGATGAAAAAGAGTATATCAACTGAAACAGACTGCTATATGTTGTGCGCTGTACATTGGACAGTTACAGAGTTAGTGAGGGATACCTCATGTGGTGGACTCAAGAGCCACACCAAAATTTAACAGTTACACATATCCATCTACAAAGAGTTGTTTTTAAAGCCTTTAGGACGTCACTGGATTGTGACAGTGCTTGTAACAGAGTCCCTTGCCTGTTTACATTGGTTACATAGATTACAAATAATTTCATTCTGGAATTAGACTTTATGGTGAAACTCAGTGACTCATAGGTTAAACAGGATGCTTCTTTTTGGGTTCCACAGTAGATCATCTGCCTCCGTCTCATCCAATCCCCATCTTCTATCACACCAACCTCTGCCTGGCAGCTCCATCTTCTGTCCCAGCCTTGCCTTTGTCTCCAAACTGCTCAATATGAGACATCTAATGCTGTACGTGTTGGTCACTCCCAATGAAAATGTTAACATCTTTAGTGGACTACCATCTTGTAACTCTTCCTTTCACTCGCGCCATTATTATTCAGTAACAAATCATCTTTGACACTCATCTCTACCCTGCATGGACTCTTTGCCATTCTTGTGTATTGCCCGTTGCTTTTGATGGCTGACCCCAAATATACAACTCATCCACCTTCATTACGTATACTCATCTTCACCTTTCCACACACTTCATTCACACACAACCTTTCCAGGCTTGATACCTTCCACCTGCACCCACTCTCACAATGTCGCCTACGACACAGAAACTTGTACCTGTCCCTTAGCAAAGCCACAACAAGCGAGGAGGAGCTCAGAGCCGCAGATATTTATAGTTGGCAATGGTTTATCACTTTAGTGACACTGCAGTAATATAAACAATTGGAAATTAGATTAACAACGTTAGCGTTTCGCCTTTAATACTATCAGCAAAAAAGGGCTCGTGTATGTGGGTTAACAGTCAAGAGACTCGTTATAAGATATAGTTTCTTTATACAGCTAAGTGGTTAGCATATGCTAACAATCAAGCCGCATTCGCGCCCCAACTAAATCGCAGCTAGCCGTAAACCCACTAACATGTGAGAATATATCGTTTGCAGTTGGGTTTAATAATTGCATAAACTCTGGTGGAACATTTCGTGTAACCCTCCAGACCAACTTAGGGCGTAACGTTAACTTTTGGCGAGAAGTACTCAAGCCTTTTTGGCTAGCCCGCACCATTCAAGCTTTAATGTTCCCCTGGGAGATTACGGGTTAGCTTAGCAAAACCACTTTCCACGAGGGGGCTTTGTAGTCACGTTAGCTCTTAGAGCTGGTATGAAAACGGCTACGCAGGTTAAAACATATATAGCATGAATAACAAGTTTTGCTAACGTCTCGGCCCTACTTTGCATTTTGCTTACCGCTTTGGTCCATGATCCAACGAGTGATCGCAATGCATTGTGGGATACGAGAAACTGACGAGGAGAGGAGGTGAAGTGAAAGGGAAGGAATGAGGATAGGAAAGAAGGAAGCGAAAGAAGGACGACGCAAACAGGGTTAAAAAATTAAGAGCTAAAAATAAACTGTAGTTAGTTCACGTTAAAACCAACAAAGAAAAACAGCCGCGCGTTTATTATGCCCGTGTACAGTTGGCCTAAATGGCTGAAAGTAAAGACAGGACGTCGTTGTGATATTTATCAGAAACGATCGTCCATTTGTTTTCTGTATCGACGCAGTTCCTCCTTTACGTTTTACGCTACTACCTGCCACAGGTCACATCCTGTCAGTCATGAGAGTGACTGGAAAATCTGAAGGCTTGGACTTTCTATCATATTTCATAAACATGTTGCTGTAAAGTTCAGGTTATTATTTATCCACTGTTTACATTGTTTTAGCAGAAAAAAAGCTAATTGTATCCTTAATAAAAAAATATCTGCTGCCATAGTTTAAACACTTGTTAGATCATCCAACATGTGCTATCCATGCATATTTACTTAGAATGAAGCTTGTTTCACAGCTGAACTGATTCACATTGTTTCATAGAGTTTCTAATACATACTTTGTCTAAAATGAATGTCATCAAACACAGAAAGAAGGTTGCATTTTGACTTTCATTGTAAACTGCTGCACACTCAGGCAAAAGTCCTGAGTCTGCCCATATGGGTTTTATTTTGCTAGTAAGTAAAATAAAAGTAAGTAAAATTGTATTTGTATAGCACCTTTCAAGATAAAATCACAAAGTGTTTCACAGAAGCTAGAACATAAAACAACATCAACCAAAGGCAAGTTTAAAAAGAAGGCTTTTAACTGTTTTTTAAAAGAACTGACAGAGTCTACAGATCTGAGTGGAAGAGAGTCCCAGAGTCTGGGAGCCACAGAAACAAAAGCTCTGTCACCTTTTGTTTTTAATCTAGTGTGCTGGACAACCAGCAAGCCCTCAGGGACCTGCTGGGAATATCAGGATGAGGAAGATCACTGCTGTAAATTGGAGCTAGTCCATGCAGTCCTGAGGGTCAGGATTATATGGGGGAAACTGGAAGCCTTGGTCAACAGCCTTGCAGCAGCATTTTGAACACCCTGCACACGTTCCAAGGAGGCATGAATCTGCTTAACATGAATATCCAAGGACAGAGCTGAGTCAGATAACACCAATCTTCCTAATAGAAGATTAAACAAAAGCGAGGGGGCCTAAATGTTTTAATACCAAAGGTACGAATTTATCAGGAGCAAAGACAAGGACTTCAGATTTCTCAGCATTAAGTTGAAGATAATCATCAGCATTCCAACCTCTGATAGAATCTAAGCATCTCTGCAAGATTAGAAGTTTAGAAACATCATGTGGCTTAAAGCAGATATATAGCTGAAAATCATCTGCATAGCAATGACACGAAATGTCCTTAAAAGTGCTGAGAAGTTCCTGAAGAGGGAGTAAATATAGGGAGTGCAGAATTATTAGGAAAGTTGTATTTTTGAGGAATAATGTTATTATTGAACAACAACCATGTTCTCAATGAACCCAAAAAAAACTCATTAATATCAAAGCTGAATGTTTGTGGAAGTAGTTTTTAGTTTGTTTTTAGTTTGAGCTATTTTAGGGGGATATCTGTGTGTGCAGGTGACTATTACTGTGCATAATTATTAGGCAACTTAACAAAAAACAAATATATACCCATTTCAATTATTTATTTTTACCAGTGACACCAATATAACATCTCCACATTCACAAATATACATTTCTGACATTCAAAAACAAAACAAAAACAAATCAGCGACCAATATAGCCACCTTTCTTTGCAAGGACACTCAAAAGCCTGCCATCCATGGATTCTGTCAGTGTTTTGATCTGTTCACCATCAACATTGCGTGCAGCAGCAACCACAGCCTCCCAGACACTGTTCATCATGGATTCTGTCAGTGTTTTGATCTGTTCACCATCAACATTGCGTGCAGCAGCAACCACAGCCTCCCAGACACTGTTCAGAGAGGTGTACTGTTTTCCCTCCTTGTAAATCTCACATTTGATGATGGACCACAGGTTCTCAATGGGGTTCAGATCAGGTGAACAAGGAGGCCATGTCATTAGTTTTTCTTCTTTTATACCCTTTCTTGCCAGCCACGCTGTGGAGTACTTGGACGTGTGTGATGGAGCATTGTCCTGCATGAAAATCATGTTTTTCTTGAAGGATGCAGACTTCTTCCTGTACCACTGCTTGAAGAAGGTGTCTTCCAGAAACTGGCAGTAGGACTGGGAGTTGAGCTTGACTCCATCCTCAACCCGAAAAGGCCCCACAAGCTCATCTTTGATGATACCAGCCCAAACCAGTACTCCACCTCCACCTTGCTGGCGTCTGAGTCGGACTGGAGCTCTCTGCCCTTTACCAATCCAGCCACGGGCCCATCCATCTGGCCCATCAAGACTCACTCTCATTTCATCAGTCCATAAAACCTTAGAAAAACCAGTCTTGAGATGTTTCTTGGCCCAGTCTTGACGTTTCAGCTTGTGTGTCTTGTTCAGTGGTGGTCGTCTTTCAGCCTTTCTTACCTTGGCCATGTCTCTGAGTATTGCACACCTTGTGCTTTTGGGCACTCCAGTGATGTTGCAGCTCTGAAATATGGCCAAACTGGTGGCAAGTGGCATCTTGGCAGCTGCACGCTTGACTTTTCTCAGTTCATGGGCAGTTATTTTGCGCCTTGGTTTTTCCACACGCTTCTTGCGACCCTGTTGACTATTTTGAATGAAACGCTTGATTGTTCGATGATCACGCTTCAGAAGCTTTGCAATTTTGAGACTGCTGCATCCCTCTGCAAGATATCTCACTATTTTTGACTTTTCTGAGCCTGTCAAGTCCTTCTTTTGACCCATTTTGCCAAAGGAAAGGACGTTGCCTAATAATTATGCACACCTGATATAGGGTGTTGATGTCATTAGACCACACCCCTTCTCATTACAGAGATGCACATCACCTAATATGCTTAATTGGTAGTAGGCTTTCGAGCCTATACAGCTTGGAGTAAGACAACATGCATGAAGAGGATGATGTGGACAAAATACTCATTTGTTTAATAATTCTGCACTCCCTGTATAACAAAAACAGTACAGGTCCCAGGACAGAACCTGTGGCACACCAAGAGAGGTGAGAGAGGACCCGAGCTTGGAGGTAGCCACAGAGAAGCATCAAGTTCGGGGTTTTTAACAGCACTTTTACAAAAAACAGGCACCTGACCAGAAAGCAGAGAGGCATTGATGATTGTAAGCACACTAGGACCAATGGACTGAAAGACCTTTCTAAACAAAGGTCCAGATAAAACATCAAGAGGGCAGGAGGACGGGTTCATTGAATCAACTAATTTGACCAGCTCAGGTAAGGACACAAAGATAAAGTCAATGGTTAAGCCTAAAGAAAAAACGAGGTGCGTGTCCTTTGGCATGTGTGGGGCCAGACACATGCTGTGTAAAATGAAAGTACACAGTAAAAAACCAAGTGTCAATTTTACACTTAGGGAGTTAATGTTATCTGAAGCAGAGTTAACATTTGGTCCCACTCAAAATTAGAGTTAAATTTACTCTATGGCCAGTGTTAACTTTTCAGTGTTAATTGTACTCAATTTAGTGTCAAAATTAACAACAAAATGTGTAAAAATATTTAACACTGAGGGTTATTCACACTGTTCAGAGTAATTTGATTACACTTTATAGAGCTATTTTACTCCAAATTTAGTTTAATAATAACACTCTGGTGTGTAATAATATATCATTTTTATTTCTCTGTAGTGTGATTTTTTTTTTTTTTCATATTCATCTTATGATGCTATATTACTAAATAACTGATCTATCCTACATTATGGAAATAACAGCAAATATACAGGTTAAAGTAACAGCATTTATTATGTTTCTCATTTCAGTGTCATTTAATTAACGTAACAAACCTTTACAATTCACAGTTCTATGATGCTCACTAGAGAAAGCAATATGACATTGTCGTAGTTGCAGAAAAGTAACAAAGTTGGTCAGGGATGAACTGTATGATGTACCAAAGACATAATGGGCCCTAAAGAGTTCATCAAGGGCTCCTACAGAACCTGTCGCATTACATGGAAGTGCATGCTTCTCAATCACAATGAAGGTGTGAATGCTGCTTCTTGTGGATCCCTGGGTAAGATGGTAGGGCTGACTGCTTCGGGTGATGTTGTCTAGATGCTGCTGTACACTGGCTCCAGCCTACAACAACACATTAAACAACAGTATTAAGTGACTATCCTCTGACAGTAGATTAGCTCAACTCACTGTCCATGAAAATAGAGGTGATGGAAAGTATATTTTAAACAACATACCTTTGGGAATTTGATGAGGTTATTGACAGCTTGAGAGGCAGACATCTTTCTCTTTCGCCCTTGTGCAGATGGTGGTAGCAGATGTAGCAGCAGCAAGATAGTAGACAAGTCACTGTCCCAGCCTACAGACGAATAAACAAAGAATTATTCCAAAAATGCATTCAATTGACAGAATTACCTATATAACCAACAATGGCAAATAAAAACAGTCACAATCATACCATTCTCAACTTCAGTACCTGACTCAGCATTGCACATTAACTCCAAGAGCTCTGAGGTGGGGACAAGTCCATGACTTTCCTTTACAGCCTTTGCTTTGAGATTGATGGGCCACCTCTCCAAGAATTTGCTCCCAGTGACCTCACAAAACAGGAGTCGGAAATCTTGTTCTATCTGTAATGCAAAAATACAGAACATAGAGAAGTGTTTGATTGAATCCTGCCTACAAATTACATCAGTATCATTTAAATGATAAGTGAACTTACTTTTGGGCGATTTGCAAACTGAGACGCTTCTTTCCTCCACAGCTTTTCTTTGAATGGTCTTCAACCGCCATGCAATGTATCCTGAACTGCTCTCTGGATCGTAGTAATGTTTCTATGTAATTAAATAAATGAAGAAGGACTGTGTTATCAACATTTCTGAGGGCAATTATGTATTTAATGTTGAAAAGTTCCCTTTACTTACATGTCCATGTTGTGAATATGGGTCTTCCAGATATGGAGACAGAGCAACAATGCCCTGCGCATACATCACTCTTACGCTTTTAGGGGGAGATGTCCTAATGTATAAATTCAATAATTGGCATTAAACATCACAATTAAAAATAATACAATGTTTAAAATGTTTCTTTATATCTTACATTTTTGATTCTTACCCATGTTATTCTGTCATCTCAGCCTCAAGTATGTTTCTCATCCGTCTTCTGGTTGCATCTCTCAGAGATTTGGTTTTTGCGTACTCTTAAACCTTTCTATAAAATAGAAACATTACTTAATATTACTTAACATGTCATTAACATTGCTATCAGTTAATTTACACAAAATACATATTTCTTACTAAATAATGAGCAAAACTCTAAAGTAGTGTATGCCTTTGGCATTTGCTTAAAATAATATAAACTAATAAAGTTAACTTTATGGTAATGTTACCCACTTTTTCTGAAAGTATGTTCGCTTATGTAAGCTAATTAGCGATTATTAGCTTACTGATAAATGGTAATTTAGTTGTTTAAACTGTGCGATTTGACATGTGACAATGATATTATTTAGACAGCAGAAATACATAGTTAAAATGTTTTAGGTTCATATTAACGCAGTGAGAAGATAACGAACATCTGAACTTTTAGCAACTGCTAGCATGTAGCTACTGGAATGCCATTAAACCTATGGGTAAATGCTGCTAACATGTCCTCACTCGACATCAGTGAAACTATAAACAGCTACTTAGTTTAAAAATACCTTTTAAACAATGTTACCAGTCTGGGAATGTTAACTTCACTTACCTGACTGTGGCAGCTCTTCGGAGAAAATTCCCTGCGCATTAGAGCTCTGAGGCCGCACACGCCTGCGGACTGGTAATAACCAACACTGTGTGGAGTGAAGTCTTCACTGCGTGACTAACAAACTTTACACTGACTTTTAACTCTGATGTTAGAGCTGGTTTACTCCTCATAGAGTTGTAAATACTCTATCTAGGTTAAAATAGGTTTACTCTGAAATATTGACACTCCATTTTTTACTGTGTAGTAGTAGAGAGTACAGATTGTACAATTCTGAAAACCTTGCAAGTCAGTATCAGGTATGAGCACCTTCTTCAGCACAGGCTGTTGCTCTTTTAAGCAGTTTTCTTGTCCAGGAAGATCATTGATCTTATTTTATTTCAGACATAATTAGTCCATGTCATTAAAATAAAGGAAAAGCACTCTTCTGTGAATGTTGGCCACTTTTTGTTCCATTCTCTAACAAGATAGTCTCAGGCTGCTTCGATAATGTTGATTTCTTGGGAGGTAAATCTAACAGTGCCATTGTGCATGTCTCAGGTGCACTGGAAGCAAAACGTAAATAAACGAAGTGAGACTCCGAACTGCAGCCATGGTACAGTACAAAGCAGAAAACCCGACTGGTGTCAAGCATTTTCCACCGATTGTTTTAAAATTACAGAATGATCTTGCCTGTAAATGTTTATTAGTTAAAATGCAATTAAATATAAACGGCACTCTTCAGACAGCAGGTTTATAGCTGCAGGTTTTGAAATAATATGTATCTCATGTGAAAACGAGGACAGTTTGATGTGTGATAGCAGCGTTGCATCACTCAGCGCTTTAAGATGTTTTGGAGAGCTCGGTGCACTGTCTCAAGTCGAGGCACGTCCCCGACGCGCGTGCCCGCAACCATGTCGCCATTTTGATTCGAAAAATATGACTGAGTTTTTCCTGCTTTGCGTGCTAAACTTAGCCCCGCGTTTGAATTACTTTGTGTGCGAGTACGTATCATACACTTTGCATTTGAAATAACTCGGATTGTTATTAACACCACGTAGTCATTCACGCGGGGGAACAGCTTATTTTGTAGTCTTCTTAGCCACATTTGACTATCGTTAGCTAAGTTGAGCTAGCTAACGGCGGTCTGTGCTGTCGCAGACTGACCCCTTCTTCAAAACAAATCACTATTCGCTCACAGGCTAACGTATGTTAGCTCATACGGCTAGCTAACAGTAGCTGGACAGCTAGTGATTTAGTAGCTGGCTGCTTAACGAAAAACAGCAACAACTCGGATCACACGGAATTACTCGCAGCGGACATTCAACCAAAGGTACGTTTTAACCGGGAATTCTTATCGTGAGTTTGAGCGTAGTGCTAATCTTAACCCTGCTGCTGCAGCAGCGACAAAGTTAAACCCAAGTTAGAGAGCTATTTAAGTTGGCCGCTCAGTACACGTTAACCGTTGGTAGCTAATTAGCTTATGTGCTAATCAGAGAAAAGGAGGAACTAACCTTAGCTGAGTTGTTCCCCAACTTTAGAAGTTGGTGTCTAAATATCGTGAATTAACCCTGATCGAGATACCAGTGCTGGTCTATCGGCTAACTTCGCACAAGGACTCAGTAATGGCTGTTGGATTACTTAATCGATGTTAATGTAACATAGTCGTTAACTGTTAATGTTTAGTCCCGTCGACGTTAACAGAACTCATTTTCTGACCGATACGTCTCTTTAAATGCTGCATGTGTTTTTTATAGCTCGGTAACTAAAGAGCCAACGTTACTTTAGGGGTGTTGGGAGTCGGCTGAGGCCAGCAACGCAGACTTACTGAGCTGGAAGTAACTACACACTCTGTAGGTGAAGTGGTAGTTTTATCTTTCATGTTGGAGTTACTGGTGACTTCAGCAGTGTATGTGCTGTAGCATCGATCCCATATTAGTCTGGTATCATTTGGGCATTTGTGCCCTCCTCTGGAGTTGAAGTAAACAGAAATCTGAGCCCCCACCGTCAGTCAGTTGATGTGCATTTCATGCCAGTGCTGTGGAAGCTCAGCTTACATGTCTTCAGTTACACACCAGTGTCTCTTATTGTCAAACAATCTTAAGAAATCACTTCAGTTACAACAGTTTATAAAGTGTGACGCGTTACCAAATCCCCATCATGTGATCAAAGTCTGAAGCCATATCATGGTTGATGGCTGACAAAGGTACTCCATAATGTTAACTGTTAACTTAAAATATTTTGGGACCATCGCCTGTCTTAGATATGTCTGGTCAGCTTAAAACATTTTTTACAGCTTCAGTGCTTTAAAATGCAATTAAGCAGCAAACTGCAAAAACTGCAGCTTCTGTTTGCCCTCTGAAGTGTGCGGATTGGTTAATCATTTGGTAGCTGGTGTCACAAGGTTTCTAGTACAACCCAGTGAACACTGGTTCGCTATCAGCTGGACTGTTATTCACAGTGAGTAAAAGGAGAGTTCATGGCAACAGACAGGTGGGATTCCCTTTCGCTTGATTGTACAGCTTTTTTTAACTCTCCTAATTACAGGCTGCCGTTGGCTCGCATTATCCACATGTGTGCCCTTTGTGTGCCATTGTTCCTTTTTTTTCCATCATCTCTAACATGTGCCAGAAGACTGTTTTTATTGAGGTTGCCTCTGGTTTGTTCTATTTTGGATGTAAAGTCAAGCATTTGCTTTCCTGCTCGGTGTCCACAGGGAGCATTCAGCGGGTTATTATTGCGCTTGTGTACTCTGTAAATGCATGCCAGATGGACGCTGCTGCTGCATGTGCAAAGATCCTCCTCAGGAAAATGGGAAAAGAAAAAAGGGGAAGCACTTTGATTTCCTCCTGTAGTTTTACTTCCATGGTCAACAGTTAGATCTGTTGCACTGCCCGCTGAGACACTTTGGCTTTGACAAAGTCAGCAGATGTAGCTGTTTCGTGTCTCTGCTGGTGTGTTAGGTTGTCTAGATTAGCTACCACAGTAACTGCATGGGGGAAAAACATAACAAACAGCCTGGTCACAAAAGCATTTTGTACTTTATTATAGAGCTGGGCGATATGAGATTTTTTCATATCACGATATGTTTTTTTCATTTCAGGCGATAACGATATCTATCACGATATCAGCCAAATAACTATATTTGTAAGATTTAAATGTGCCGTTGCTCACAAGTAAAATTTGAAATAATCAGCAGCTTGTTTTTATTTAAATATTTATTTCCCATAATAAGTTCAACAGGGTAGATGTACTTAAGGAACATGAGACTTTTTCAGATAAATAAAGGCAAATATTGCAAACTACACAAAAGGCAGCCGCTAAAGCGTTTAAGTTTCAAAATAGAACAAACAAAACAGACTAAACTGTCAATTCCACTTAGAAACAAAATATTAATTCTAAAAATAAATCTTAGTTTGTTTTACAGAAGAACAGACAAAACTGACTAACTTTTGTCAATATCAAATAAACTGAGAACTAAAAGGAAATTCTCAATCTCTCCTTGTTGTATAGCTTAGCTTTTCAAACAGTTTTAACAGTTACTTTAGTCTGACAAAAGCCGAATGACGAATTAGCGCTTCCAGTCAGAGACTGAGGCTACGTCCACACGTACACGGGTATTTTTGAAAACGGAGATTTTCCGTTTTCGTTTTAAAAAATAATCCCGTCCACACATAAAGGCAGAAATGAAGGAAAACGCTGCTATGAACATGCCAAAGCAGCAGGTGGCGCTAGATTCCTAACCGTGCAGAAATGTTGGCCAATCAGAAGTCTAGAAGCCTCGGTGGGAAAAAGTAAACAAAGCTGGGGCATAGAAGCAGAACCGAGTCGTATGTGTGGACGGACAGTAACTGTGTGTATATGTAAGCATTTAAACACTGCAGAGAGTAGAATTAACAGTAACAGTATTGTAGAAATTCATTTCACCGAAACAATAACGTGGCGCACAGTGTGACGCATGCACCAGTTTATTGTATTTCCAGACTTGCTTTCGGCACAATTTACAGTGCACGCTACTCTGTTTTTTGTCAGACTTGAAATAGCCGAAATACCTTCACACTACGGAACTTCTATGGCTCTTCCGTTCGACAATCTCTCCGGCGTTGGAACCATCATCTGTTTTCTCTTCGGTCACGCTCGGTTGATTTTTCTAGTCGGCACACTCATTTCCTCCATTACCCGCTGGCTGCTTCCCAAACAAACACACGTGCGGCTTGGCACTTGTGCTGTACGTAACAAGTCACGCGACGTGACGCTGCGGCTGTGATTGGTTCGGCTCTGCGCTACTTAATTTGGATTGGCTGACTTTTTTTTTTTTTTTTTTTAAGAGGACAAGAGCGGCGAGGTCTATCGCGATAGTCTTAATTTCTCTATCGAGTAAAAGTTATATCGCGATACATATCGTTATCGTTCTATCGCCCAGCTCTACTTTATTATTACTTTTCTCTTTTTTAACGGATTCTAACAATATGTTACATTGAGCTGTTACACCAGAGAAGAGGGGGAAGTTGACCTAAGCAGTCAATGTGCAGAGTAATGAGCTTGCACATAGCATTTGTACAAGGTGTTACTCTGTCATATGTAGAAAGTCAAAGTGGTGGATAGCCAGATAGCCAAATAACGAGGTCAACTGTGGTACAAGTAGAGCTGGGCGACATGGAAAATAATCTTATAACAATATCTCACGCTGTTCCCTGTCAGTTGGTATTGATATAAATCACTATTTATGCTCAACGTAAAGCTTAAAGCCTTCTTTTTACTCTTGGTGACAATATAGGATTAATTTTAGTTTAAATATTAGTCATTTTCTCTCAGAAGTTGAACGTAATAACAACTTTATACAGCAATATTTTAGCTAACATAAGTATCTAATAAACTTAATTGTAATTCTCACTGGTCAAAAGCAAAAGAGATAACTCACTTCTTCAGTTCAAATAAATGTCTCGTGTTTATATTGAGAAACGTCTTTACTTGGAAAAAGTCAGTTTTGAGTGAAAAAACACTTTCAGGAAGCTCCAACGTGAAGAAAGGCTAACTTTGTAGCTGCTGCCAGACGCCACAATTTGTTTTACGCAGTCAAAATAAAATATGCAGATGAACTGTTAAATTAGTCTGATATGATGTTTAATTCAGGCAGCTTGTCACCAACCGCCCTGCTTTATATGGCAGTGATACCTGTAACAAGAAGGGGTGAGTATAAAGGGGGGCAAGGGGTGTACTAGACCATATTTATGTCAAGGCTTCAGTGAAACATATTGTATTACATATATTTGTTTTTTTCCAAGACAGTAAAAGTACACATGGGTGACTGACTTGGGTCGTTTAGGCAGGACACTGAAGTTAATATGTTCTATGATGTGTTAACATCAGTCATTAACATTTTTACCGTTCAGTTGTATTTTATTTATATAGAGCCAACAACAGTTGCTCAAGGTGCGAAAACGCCATCAGAACGTCTGTTTTTTAGAGCAGGAAATGTTGCATCCAACGTCGGGGCAAACCTCAGAGAATCCTGATATTCTTGCTTTTCTTCATTGCATGTGTTTCTTTCACACATGCACACTCATTCACTAGCCCACTTACACAAAATGCCCTCCAAGAAGGGTAGAGGCAGTTTTACTTCGTGCCTTAGGTTTCAGTAGTGTGTGTGTGACTTATTTACTGTACTTTTGATTATTTATTCTTTAAAAAGAATAAGTTTTTTATGGCAGGTGCGTGCAGTGCGAGCGCTTACCTGCCTGCGCAGACGTTGTGTGCAGTCAGAATATTAAAAACTTTGGTTTCCATTATAAAAAACTACAGTGAAAGACCTGTGGGGTTTTTTGTCTTTTGAACACGATACATGATGTAAATTATTATTATGTATTATTTCTCATTAATAAGACAAAAGTATTTCTTATCCAATTAATGGATGTAATAAGCAACAGGTTACCTGATTACTAAAAGAATTGACTCCTGGTACCTTTTGTCAGTTAATAATCAACCTTCATGTTGTGCAGGGTATGGTGAGCCTCTCAGCGACCCGTCTCCTAAAGAGGCCCGCGTTTTAAAAGGAGACCCATGCTGATAAATGCCAGGCCTCGCCACACTCTCTGTCGTCTGCACAAACACAAATGCCTGCCTGCCCGTGGGGGAGGTCTGATTAAAGATATCCACATTTCATCCACTGGTATGTGTGAACACTTTACTGTCAGGCATTTGTGTCTTTTTCTAGTTACACTATGACTGTGTTTACTTGGACCAATGTGCGTTTAAATCATGACAACGTTTTCTGTCTTAACTGATATCGCCTCCATGTTACGTTAGAGCGTCAGTTACGGTCCAGGTTTGAACTTCTGCAGCCATCGACACTGCCTGATGTCTCGCAGCTTAGCACGAACACTGACAAGACCATATGTTTCTGTCTCATAAACCTATGAAAAATTCAGTGCAGGCTGTATGATGTGCTCTACATTAATGCAACATTGTGACTACAGTTGGCCAGATCTTACTTTGATCACCCGAGTCACATTAGGCCCGTGAGAGAATGCTGTTTACAGGACAGATTAAAGTTAATCCCAGAATATTACCGTTGCTGTGAACATTGTCTTTGGTATAAAAGGATAGAAGTACTAGTGCTGTACTAATCCTCTTGTTTCTTTACGTCAGCTTGGAGCCCCTGCTTCCTCATCCCAACCTTTCACTCTTAACTGTCCTACTCCTCTCTCCTCGCTCTGTCGGCCCAGGGCTGTGTCCCCCCTCCCAGCGGCCACCATGTTTTGGAAGTTTGACCTGCACACCACCTCCCACATTGACCAGCTGCTGGACAGGGAGGACGTGACGCTGAGAGAGCTGATGGAGGAGGATGACGTCCTGCAGGAGTGCAAGGCCCAAAACCGTCGGCTGCTCCTCTTCCTTTCCCAGGACCACTGCATGCAGGAGCTGGTCAGCCTCATCACCACAGAGCCACCTGCTGATCTGGAGGAGCGAAGCCGCTTTAAGTGAGAGCCCACACTGACTCTTAGAGACTGCTGGGAGAGTGGAGACATTACTTAAGAGTTAGATTAGAAGACTGGGAGCAAGACGAACACGAAGTGGAACATGCTCCCATTTCCAAAGACAGATGTTGAGCCTGAGTTGAATTGATTTGCCTTGATGTCAATTAGATACAAGCACCACAGTTAACTCGCTTGTTCAGTTAATAATTCAGCTCATGGGTCACATAATAAAGAAATCTAACTCTGTCCACATACACAGGATTTATTTAGGATTTATGAACTTTACCAGGAAAATGCTGTTGTTGTTTGATATGCACGCGCTGGTATTTTTAGATTAAATGCTGAAGTTTGAAAGGAACGCAGCAAAAAGAAACTTCCAGCTTTTTGCATATATCCACGTTTTGCTGCTGTGATTAAATCCTCACACACGTTGAAACTGTAACCCCATCGCCTTCATTTTCCTTCACTCATACTTGCAGTGATACTTTGAAATCTTTAGTTTGACACAGAGATCTGATCTTAACGTCAGTCTGTTGTGTTTTTCCCTCTGCAAGGTTTCCCAATGTTGCTTGTGAGCTTCTGACCTCAGATGTTTCCATTATAAACGATAAGCTGGGTGGAGACGAGTCTCTCCTCGAGATGCTCTACCACTTCCTGGAACAGGACCCACCTCTCAATCCTCTACTAGCCAGCTTCTTCAGCAAAACCATCGGCAATCTCATTGCCAGGAAAACCGAACAGGTAACTAGTAAACAAGATATGAATTCCTCTCAGATTAAGCGAATCATTTAGGAACATTTCCACACACCAAAGTTTCAGAGAGTAATAGCAACTGGAGCAGGGCGTTTTGTGGGGTCTGCTGAGTTTCCTGGGACTCAATAGAAATGCTCGTCCCCACTTTGGAAAGTCAGTCTGTTCCTCCAAAGGTTCCTAGTCCCGGAGGAAGAGTCCAGTGAAAACATGCCTAGAGAGCATAAAAACCCTCAAATGTGAAAATCTAAGATTGACATTAGCTGTCTGTTAAAATCCACAGTCTTTGACATTGTGTCATTTTCCAGGTTATTACCTTTTTAAAGAAAAAAGAAGGCTTTATTGGTCTGGTGCTGAAACACATTGACGCCTCTGCCATGATGGACCTGCTGCTTCGCCTCATCAGTTGTGTGGAGCCTGCCCCTTTGAGACAGGATGTTCTGCATGTAAGCGACCGAAATGGCTCGTGTGTCCTGTGAGTAAGCTCGAACCTGTCGCATGCTTTTAAGTGATCTGTTTCTTTTGAATCCTAGTGGTTAAACGAGGAAACGTTGGTTCAGAGACTCACAGAGCTCATCCATGCTGGCAAAGATGAGGAGGTGAGTGGGTGCAGCGCTCGCTGTGCTGGCCGAGTGTCGTCTCGATGTTTCCTAATCATTTTTATTGATGGGTTCCAATAATTTAATTGGATTATTTATTTTTCAGAGACAATCAAATGCGTCCCAAACGCTGTGTGACATCATCCGCCTTAGCCGAGATCAGGCCAGTCAGATGCAGGAGAACGTAGAAGCCGACCCACTATTGGCTGTGCTAGAATCGTAAGTCTGCGGAGCGCTTGTATGTTTGTAGTAACGTACAACTCTCTGTAGGAACTGTGGGGATAGCTTTCCCACATCACTCATGCCTGCTCTTCCTGCTCTGTCCACACCACACACCAGCGTCATTGTTGACTGTTGTTTGCTTAGTTCTTGACCTGAAATGGAGAGGCATTAAAAACCTCAGGTTGTAGCATGTGTACACACAGACCTGCTGGCAGAGCCTGTTTGACTGCAGCTTTGATTTTGTGTGGGTGTGTGTGAGGTTGACTTTGTGCCTTTTGAAAATGCTTCCTTTTGCATCAGGAGCTAAAACATTGTTGCTAGCTGGCCTGTTAATGGTGCATAAATGTGTTCCAGGCAGGAGAGCGTGGCGGGGCTTCTCAAGAACATGTTTGAGGGGGAGAGGAGCGAGGCCTCCATCGTTAATGGAACTCAAGTGCTACTTACCTTACTGGAGACCAGGAGGTCTGGGTGAGTCCCACCAGTTCTTAATCATTCAGGATGTAAATTGTGCTAATTTTGGTGTCTTCCTGACTCTTAAGTGACGTCATGTAGTAAATTTGTATTTTACTCGCCTCTCAGTCGAGATAGTAGAAAAGACCCGTCACAGTCACTGAGCTGATATGCTGATTGTCTCTGCTTGTGTCTGTCAGGTTGGAAGGGCTGATGGATCTGTATTCTCAGGGTTATGAAAGGTCTTACACTGTCAACAGCAGTATTTTAAATGCCATTGAGCCCCATTTAAAGGACTTCCAGCAGCTTCTTCAGGATCCCCCCAAGGTAAAGACTGCAGTGTAGTCAGAGTGTAAGCATGAGCATGGTGCAGCCTTTGAACACTGGAGTCACTCAGCTGCATGTTTGTAATGGTACTGCACTTTTCAGCGCTGGTCTCATTTTCCAGTATTGTACAGCTGACGCTGCTGTTAAATGTCATGTTATAGTTTTGACTTGATTTGGGGCAGGGATAGCTCAGTAGGTAGAGTGGTTGCCCCGTGATCGGAAGGTCGGGGGTTCGAATCTACCGAACGGCTACCCCCTGGTACGCCTGAGCGAGGTACCGTCCCTACACACTGCTCCCCGGTGCGCCTGCTTAGTGGCTGCCCACTGCTTCTCTGAGTGAATGGGTCAAATGCAGAGAGTAATTTCCCCACGGGGATCAATAAAGTATACATCATTATTATTATTATTATTATTATTATTATTATTATTAAAAAACAATGTCCATATGCTACTTTCACTCTTTCCTCAGAAAAGTGCAATATTGACGACCTTTGGCCTTCTAGATCAGCCACTGGGGAATGCTCGCCTTCATGTGGCCCGGCTGGTGGCTGCCCTGCTCCAGACCAATGCACCCAATATCTGCCAGGAGCTCTGTAACCTGGCCACCATGGACCTGCTACTGGTAAGGCTAACCTTTCTAGAAGATGCCGTTTGTATATTGTACAGTGTTTTGGGAAATTGCATGGGATTTGTACGACGTTAGTCAAAAGGTTGGGAAGGACTCTTTACCCATCTGTGAAAGCAGGTTCAAATAACCCTGCCCTGCTGTACTGGTTCACGGTCACTGGTAAGGCTCCAATATTACCAGCACGTGTTAAAGGGCACAGAATCAGCTGTTCATGTTTTTTCTCAGTAACTTGCTAAAATGTTTAAAATGAAATGCACGTACTGGAAATCCTGTGTCTGCCTCCTGTAGGATCTGTTCTTCAAATACTCCTGGAATAACTTTTTGCACTTCCAAGTGGAGCTGTGTGTGGCCTCTATCCTGAACCATCCTTCCTCAGAGGAGCGGCCAGGCCTAGGCCTGCAGAACCACGAAGAGAGCGCTACAGCGTCCAGCCCTCAGGCGCAAGAGGAGGACGCGACAACGGATGGGACGAGCGACCCACAGACCTGCATCCACGGTGCGCTCGTGGCACATGTAAGTGGTTACGCACGTCCCGCCCTCATCACACGACACTGAAACATTTCCACAGAATCACAGCGCTCACATGTTGCTGTCTAAACTCTTAGCTCTTCCAGAAGTGTCGACTGCTTCAAAGGATCCTTGATGCCTGGGAGGAGAACGATAGAATACAGTAAGTCTTCCTTCTGTAGGTTCCTGTGTTTTTTTTTCTTCTTCTTACAATCAGTGCTTTGAGTTGAAGGTAATAACTGTGTCTGTGACTGTCAGGGCTGATGGTGGTACCAGGAGAGGCAACATGGGTCACCTGACTAGAATAGCCAACATGGTGGTCCAGAACCTGGAGAAAGGACCAGTACAGACCCAGATCTCTGACCTCATCAGAGGTATTTATACAGTTGTCCAGTGTGACTATTAAATCTTCCATTTTAACTGAAAATCACTGACCAGTGTTTGCTTTTGCAGAGCTGCCAGAAGACTGCAGAGGTCGCTGGGAGAGCTTTGTGGACGAGACCCTGAGAGAAACTAACAGGAGGAATACCGTAGAACTGGTGAGTCCCTCCCACCAAATACCTGGCAGGTACAGCACTGTGCAGAAGTCTGAGGCAGGTGAGAAAATGCTGTAAACAAGGGATGCTTTCAAAACTGGGAGTGTTAACCATTTATTCTCATCAGTCAACAAAATGCAGTGAGTGAACAAAAGAGAAATCTAAATCACATCAACGTTTGGTGTGAGTAGGGATGGGTATCGTTTAGGTTTTATCCGATACCAGTACCAAACTGGTGCTCGAACCAGTGCTTAAAGAACGGAGAACACCAACTTTGTCCAAAACCTCTCATGTTCAGCTGTTTCCCACTTTTTCTTTGGTCATTTTAGCCTTTTTGGCCAGGGTGAAGGGAGCATCTGCCATCAAACAAGAAGACAGCCGCATGTAGCTATGATGATGTTTGCTAGTTCACCTTACATGCATTAATGTAATAACGTGGTTAGCCTACTCAACGTAAATTACACATGAACAACATGAAGCTACTCACGCAGAGAAGAACGGCTGCTGCTGCATCATCATCCTCATCATTTCTGCTACACTGGCAGGGCTAGGGGCCAGGACTCTCCTCTTCGGGTTTTTGGGGAATGTTGCTCCGGGTCCGATAACAGGCAACCCACCCGCAGTAGACGTGCACGGTGTGAGGTCTCGCAGCAAGCTATCAAATACGGCACATTTCTCGGCTTTTAAAAAAACGCTATGCGTCGCCAGCTGTTTCATCAGATTCGAGGTGTTACCTCCTTTGACAGTATCACAGTATCAGCTTAAAGCACTTGTTGCTGCTGAGTTTGCATCTTTTGCTGTGAAGAATTTGACCGCTTCGCCTTGGGCATTTTTAATCTGTAGCTCTGCTCTAAAAGAACGTACGTACCTGGCCCCGCCTACTACGCTCGCAAAGGTAAAATGATTGGCTAGAATCCAAAGTGTCTGACATCTCAGGAAAATAAAGCTACCGTTACTACCGTTTATGTCAGAACCGGTACCGGTGCCCATCGCTAGGTGTGAGCAGCCGTTGCCTTCTGCTACGTACACGTGCACACAGTTGTTGAAGGAACTCGGCTGGTAGCTCGTTCCAAACATCTCAGAGAACTAAGCACATCCTTCTGTCTCTTCATGTAATCTCAGACACACTCGATGTTGATCAGGGCTCTGTGGGGGCCGGACCATCACTTCAGTACTTCTTTATGCTGAGGATAGTTCTTCATCACTTTGGCTGTCTGGTCTGGTTGTCCTGCTGCAGAATACATTAGGGGCCAATAAACAGTCATTTATATTTCTGAAACTTTCTCTGCTTGCAGCATTTTTTCCACACCTGCCTAAAACGTTTGCACACTGCTGTAAGTCTCATTTCCTCTTCTTCCTCTTCTTCCCCCACGTTAAGTCCAGCTCTGCGTCCTGCAGCAGCAGTTAATCAGGACAGGAGCGTGCAGCCCACAGCAGAGCAGACAACCTTTTCAGCAAATTTGGGCTTTGAGATGATTTATCGAATAAATAAAAAATATCAGCAGCAACAACTCCGAAGTGTCTTGACCTACATGACCTATGTACATTCAATACACTGACACACCTCATAACGCTGTTGCACTGAGCTTGTTCTGCACTCTGTCCTGCAGGTAAGCACTCACAATATGCACTCGTCCAGTGAGGACGATGACATGGAGAGCCCCTTCCCCAACGACCTGTCACTCCAACAGGTATCGCAGCCGCGCTCAGAAGCCAATCTTAACACGCTGCCGCACCACTCACGATGACACCAGGAACAAAAGTATGAGCTCACCAGTTGTGCTTGAACTTCACAGGCTTTCTCAGACTATCAGATCCAACAGATGACTGCCAGCTTTGTGGATCAGTTTGGCTTCAACGACGAGGAGTTTAGCGAACATGATGAAAATATCAAGTAAGTCTTCTAAGGAAAGGAGTTCAGAGTTTTCATCCTGATCTGTAGTTCCCAGGATTCTTTTGGCATCATGTGTGTAATGCAACAGCGGCCAGCACGTTTGACTGCTGGCTTACAGCGACATAGGATAGCTTTGGTGTCTTTGTTCAGATAGTTTGGCCCTCCAGGTGTCACAGGAGGAGGCGGCTCGAGCTGTCGCAGAGTTTATCGAAATGTCCCAAACATGTAACGTGTGTGTTGTTGCTTCTGTGTGTGTTCTCCCTCCTCAGTGCTACGTTTGACAGAATCGCCGAAATAAACTTCAATCTAGATGCTGATGATAACAGTGTAAGTGTGTGTGATTCTTCAAAACTCGTCCAGTGATGGGCGTGAGCTGCGTGTTTCTGCTGTGCAGTGAAAGGACCGCCTCACTGCTAATTAGTCACAACACGCTCCTTCATAAATATGTCCACGATGTTACGATGTTTAACCCACTGAAAGCTCTCCTTTCACTGTTCACAGGCCAACGCAGCTGCATTTGAAGCCTGCTGCAAAGAGAGGATACGCCAGTTTGATGATGCTGAAGAGGAGGAGGATATCTGGGACGATAAGGAGATCAACTATGCAACACAAGCTAAATCCAGAACAAGGTCAAGCTGATGCCGTGTTTCATCCTCACTGCACTTTGTTGCATGCCGTGGATTTGTTTCATTAAACCTTTAACTTAATGAGCTTCTCCCTTTCTTCCAGGTTCGGGGTCTCTCAAACCTCAGAGGGAAGCTCCAGGAGCAGCATGGAAAACGGAGGTCGGGAGCGGGACCGTGCATCTGAATCGGATGAGGACGAAGACTCTGAGCAGAACACGTCAGATTCGGGTAGATGGGAATGCAGCCAAATGTCGCACTGACCTGTGAACAGCCTCTCAGGTCTTAAAAGTGTTTGGTGTCATCTCCAGGTCCTGGCTGGACAGCAAATTTCAGGGATTCTGGAGAGAGCGCAGCATCCCAAACCTCCCCCGGGTGGGAGAGCTCAGCAGGGAGCGCGACCGAGACACAGCAGACTGGCTGGGCTAACTTCACTGAGTTCCAGCCTTTCTCTGGGTGAGCAGTCACACAGACCGCACTGGTGACGGTTTTCATAGGAACGCAATGCTCAGTGCTCTCTTCCTGGTTTCCCACAGTACAAAGACAGATCCCAGGTGCAGCTCTCCTGTGGAAACGGGCAGCAGTGATGTGGATAAACAAGCCAAACAAAACCACGAGAAGAGCGGTGAGTCGCACGTCACCGCTCCGGCCGGCAGATCCTCTCCTAAACTCGTGTCCAACTCAGGAACACCGGTTCTTAATTGGAGCAATAAATGAAGAAAAGTGTAATAACAGTATTTTTCTGCACGTGTCTGTCAGCAGATGTTAGTACCTCCCCTGGTCCAGCAGGAGAAGGGAGAAAGGCTCCACTCGTGGCCTCAGACAGCAGCTCCTCCGGCGGCTCTGACAGCGAGGAGGATGACAAAAATGCTGGTGCTCCTCCCACCTTAGAAACAGCCAGTGCCCCGGGCAACAAGACGGCGGACCTCAAAAGGTGTGCGTCGTCCCGTCTTTCAGAATGTGTCATATCAGTGAAACGTATCCGGCGAGTAAAGCATGAGCGCCGAAAAACAAACGTCACTTTGGGGTAACGTCCTGAGACTGTCCACGCTGCACACACACAACCTCTGTGTGTGTGCAAACATCTATATTTGAAACATAATTACCACATTGATGTAATTATAGAGCGCGCTGGAATTTGAAATTGCTGCATGCATTCAGTTGAGCTTCGCCTTTCTAAGTACAGTTCACCCCGGAGCTAAAGTTTGTCATGTTAACACGGAGCCAGCTGAGCTCCACACAGATCATGAGCATTTTGTGTGCCACTAGTGGATCTGACCACTCAGCCTTCATTTCCACGTGCTCCAAACTAAATGGACAGCTTCACGTTCAAAAATGATGCATTCTGCACGAGTGTCCATGAGCGTAGCTGTTCTGAGCTTGTTTCCCTCTGCTGGTCTCCCAGGTTGGTTTTACAACTAAAAGCATAATAAATGTTACATTTGTACGTCTGTGTGTTCTGCAGTGAGGAGTGTCCGGTGTCTCTGGAGAAGCTCTCCCTGTCGGATCCTCCTACAGCTTCAGAGCAGCAGCCTGCTGAGGATCTACCTGTAAACACGCAGACTGACAGGAAGTAAGTAGCCAGGAAGTAAAGCACCTCGAGGTGCTTTATGTTGTAAGGTAGACCCTACAATAATGCATGCAGACAACAATCATATGACCCCCTATGAGCAGCACTTTGGCGACAGTGGGAAGGAAAAACTCCCTTTTAACAGGAAGAAACCTCCAGCAGAACCAGGCTCAGGGAGGGGCGGGGCCATCTGCTGTGATTGGTTGGGGTGAGAGAAGGAAGACAGGATAAAGACATGCTGTGGAAGAGAGACAGATTAATAAGCATGTCAGCTCAGCTGGGGAGACATGAGTATTTCCATCCTTCCTGCTGCCTCGAGCATCAGCCTCTCATCACACTTCCTTCTGCACAGTGTTAGCAGATGTAGTTTGGTAGAAAGATGAAACGGCTCCTAGTGCATTTCTTTGCATGTAAAACTGCACAATTATCCTGCATTTGCAGTGCAATGCATCATGGGTTTGCTAAGAAAATGTGACGCTGCACAACAGTAGTCACGAAGTACAGCAGGTCAGTAAATATGGGGCTATATGCAATAGTAAATAATGCTTTAGCACACAGCATGATTGTATACAGTGGGGCAAAAAAGTATTTAGTCAGCCACCGATTGTGCAAGTTCCCCCACCTAAAATGATGACAGAGGTCAGTAATTTGCACCAGAGGTACACTTCAACTGTGAGAGACAGAATGTGAAAAAAAAATCCATGAATCCACATGGTAGGATTTGTAAAGAATTTATTCGTAAATCAGGGTGGAAAATAAGTATTTGGTCAATAACAAAAATACAACTCAATACTTTGTAACATAACCTTTGTTGGCAATAACAGAGGTCAAACGTTTACTATAGGTCTTTACCAGGTTTGCACACACAGTAGCTGGTATTTTGGCCCATTCCTCCATGCAGATCTTCTCGAGAGCAGTGATGTTTTGGGGCTGTCGCCGAGCAACACGGACTTTCAACTCCCGCCACAGATTTTCTATGGGGTTGAGGTCTGGAGACTGGCTAGGCCACTCCAGGACTTTCAAATGCTTCTTACGGAGCCACTCCTTTGTTGCCCGGGCGGTGTGTTTTGGATCATTGTCATGTTGGAAGACCCAGCCTCGTTTCATCTTCAAAGTTCTCACTGATGGAAGGAGGTTTTGGCTCAAAATCTCACGATACATGGCCCCATTCATTCTGTCCTTAACACGGATCAGTCGTCCTGTCCCCTTGGCAGAAAAACAGCCCCATAGCATGATGTTTCCACCCCCATGCTTCACAGTAGGTATGGTGTTCTTGGGATGCAACTCAGTATTCTTCTTCCTCCAAACACGACGAGTTGAGTTTATACCAAAAAGTTCTACTTTGGTTTCATCTGACCACATGACATTCTCCCAATCCTCTGCTGTATCATCCATGTGCTCTCTGGCAAACTTCAGACGGGCCTGGACATGCACTGGCTTCAGCAGCGGAACACGTCTGGCACTGCGGGATTTGATTCCCTGCCGTTGTAGTGTGTTACTGATGGTGACCTTTGTTACTTTGGTCCCAGCTCTCTGCAGGTCATTCACCAGGTCCCCCCGTGTGGTTCTGGGATCTTTGCTCACCGTTCTCATGATCATTTTGACCCCACGGGATGAGATCTTGCGTGGAGCCCCAGATCGAGGGAGATTATCAGTGGTCTTGTATGTCTTCCATTTTCTGATGATTGCTCCCACAGTTGATTTTTTCACACCAAGCTGCTTGCCTATTGTAGATTCACTCTTCCCAGTCTGGTGCAGGTCTACAATACTTTTCCTGGTGTCCTTCGAAAGCTCTTTGGTCTTGGCCATGGCGGAGTTTGGAGTCTGACTGTTTGAGGCTGTGGACAGGTGTCTTTTATACAGATGATGAGTTCAAACAGGTGCCATTCATACAGGTAACGAGTGGGGGACAGAAAAGCTTCTTACAGAAGACGTTACAGGTCTGTGAGAGCCAGAGATTTTCCTTGTTTGAGGTGACCAAATACTTATTTTCCACCCTAGATTTACGAATAAATTCTTTACAAATCCTACCATGTGGATTCATGGATTTTTCTTTCACATTCTGTCTCTCACAGTTGAAGTGTACCTCTGGTGCAAATTACTGACCTCTGTCATCATTTTAAGTGGGGGAACTTGCACAATCGGTGGCTGACTAAATACTTTTTTGCCCCACTGTATGTGCAAGCCAAGTCGCTCATACACGCTCACAGACGAGCTGACGCTGTTCAGCAGTGGGCTGCACACTTTGAATCATGTAGACTCCAGCGGGGGGGAGGAGTCTGCGGAGTGCCTGCAGAGGCCACTGCTGCTGCTTGTAACATGTTGTTGTGTAAAGCAGACACATGGCCTTCATAGAATCATGAAATCAGTTAACTTGGGTTACACTTTCTGATTAAAAACACATCTTTGTTAAGTACGTTTAGTTGTTAAAGTATGTTTGTATACCAGGAGAATATTTAGTTGCTGCATTCACACTAAATGTAAAGCACTGCATTCATGTTAGTGGAGGTGAATGTGTCAAAGTTTGTGCATTTGGGGGAATAATGGGAGATGCCACTCTCAGAATCAGAATCAGAATGGGGTTTATTGCCAGATGTTGAGGTTTACAACATTAGGAAATTGCTGCGGTGCTTCAGTGCAAACAATAAGAATTAAAGTGCTATGTAGAAAGAAAGATATGTGCAAGAATTAAAGTGCTATGTAGAAAGAAAGATATGTGCATGAGATATACATGGAGACGTGGAGCTCGGGGTTATCGGTTCAGCTTTGTGGCTGAAATGGGAAATGAGGAAATGCTACTCACACAATGAGGCAAAACTTTGTACTTGGAGCAGCAGCAGCCTGTTCCATACGGAGGCAGCAGACAGACTGCAGTCTAACAGCATGTAGTGCTGGACGTGCATCGTGTGTCCTGCACGCAGCTGACTCTTTCCTTTGTCGTCCCAACAGAGAGGAAACGCCACCGCCCCAGGAAGTGTCGGTCAACGGGCCCGTGTGAGCGCGATGGGCGCCGCAGCCCCTGAGAGACGCAGACTGTCAGCCTCCTCCAGAGTGACTCCCCTAAATAACCTCACTGCAACTACGGTGTTTTTACTGAATCACTCTGCCATGTTATTGGACCTGGACACTGCCAATCGACACCAATAACGAGGCGGCAGGACATGTAAAAAACAACCCCCCACACAAAAAAAGAAAAAGCGAGACGGAGCAGAGTGCAGAGGAATCTTCTTCAAAGCCTTTTCCTGATGTTGCACATGATCCCGTGCAGTTTTAATGTAGCAGCGATCTTTGAAACGACAGAGTCCGAGGGGTAACATCGTCACCGCTATTTTTTTATGTCCTCAAACATTACTCTCCCGCTTCCCACCCTTTGGGATTTTACATGGGCACCCCGAATGGATAGCACAGGCCAACTCTAAATGATGCCTCAACAATAAATACGTTGTTTTTCCTTCAAGCTTAAGAAAAAGCACTTATGCAGCCATTTACTGTACATTATAGCACAATGATGTAAGTGTTGTACCTTCATCTCTGCTGGTTGTCTCCTCTGTCCTCACATCAAGGTTTTATCCAGTGTTTGGGTTTTTTTGGTTTTGGTCGCTGTTGATGAAACATCCTCACCATCGTACGTCACCAGGTTTCTGAATGTTTTGAAGTGCTTCAGGACGCTCTGTTGAAGAGGAGGAGAAGCGGGTCAATGAACAGAGCTCTAATAGTATTACTGTCTTTTGCTCATGTGCAATAATGTCAATTAGCCATTTTATTTAAAAAGAAAAAATCTGGCATCAGAGACTCATTGGGTAGTTTCAGATTTGGATATGATCTCAATTTTCTCTTCTTTTACTTTAGTGCATGTATAACCGGTTCTCTGTTGACCTAGCTAGTGAGCTAAGACCTTCTGATTGTATTGACCTTTACGTTCTTGCTATCCCCCTTAAATCAACCAAACTTTATCTACCTATATACAAATATTATCTACATTTATAAGTAATTTTACAAGCAACCTTGAGATTACTATTTTTGTCTGTTCCTTTTCTCTCTTTCCACCAAGCACTTACTCACAGGGGGAGAGTGACATTTGGTAAGAGTGACGCTGTATGCCCCCCACCCCCCTTTTATTATTATTATTATTAATAATTTTTTTAAGGTTAATTTTATTTTGTTTCTGAGCAGCAGAATTGGAGGGAGAGCAGGTCTGAGTTCTGCAGAGCTACAGACCTCTTTGGTGTACTTAAATCATTTGACAGCGATCAGGTTCTATGATTATTGTTAAAAAATTCAAATTAAAAGTGTCTGGCTGACCACATTAATACCAAAGGCTCTGCTTTGCTGGTGTCATCTTTGCACTGGTGCAGTACGCTTTGTTTTCAGAGACCTCGTCCACACGCAGTTCCACACGACACCTCATGATGTTTTATAGTGCAGGGTTAAAACCCCATGAAAAGACCAACCTCTATGAGCAAGCGACAGTGGGACGGAAACTCTTTTACCAGGAAGTAACCTCCGGCAGAACCAGGCTCAGGGAGGGGCGGGGCCATCTGCTGCGACCGGTTGGGTTTGAAGGGAAGGACGCGGGACAAAAGACACGCTGTGGGAGAGAGCCAGAGATGAAGAATAACTAATGCAGAGTGGTGTAGAAACACCAGCGTGACTTTATGGGGGGAGCACAAACTCCCTCCAATGAGGGGATGTTCAGAAATCATGTGATCAGCTCATCCAAAATTGCTTCGGAGTCCGCAGCCACTCGGGGCCTGAACACGTTCGGTTTCAGTTTTCCCTCCGACATGTCTGTGCAAACACCACTGCTGCACATGTGGCGTGCACACTTTGCTCCTCCCCCTCTGCTTGGTTTTGTTGGTCTTTTCCTTCCTAAATAACCTGGTCATGAGAGGAGGTGTGTTGGTTTAAGATTTTCATTCATTCTTTTCAGCATGTAAAGTGCAGTGTTGCCCCACTGGGACAGATCCACTCTGAGGGTTCTAATGTGCAGCTGTGATGTTAGAAATCAACAGCAGCACTGAGGTTTCTCTGCATGAAAATGATTTTCCAAACATTGCATTTTACCTTTTTTTTTTCGTCATCTCTGTTTGGAGTAGGCAACGTTCATCTGTGTTGTTCGGGGCAGAATAGTTTTGTTGGTGAGCAGAGAGGGCGTCTCTGAGGGCTGCAGGTTTAGTCCAACCAGCTAATGCTTAGAAAGCCCGGCTGTGCTTTCAAAATGTCAAGAACCATCTGTCCATCTTCTTCAGCTTCAGCAGCCCAAGCAGAGAAGCCCAGACCCCCCTCACCCAGGGGGCGCCTCCTGGGTGAGGCTCCTTTCGAACTTCTCACCCTCTCTCTAAGGGAGAGGCCAGCCACCCTTTGGAGGAAGCTCATTTCCGCCGCTTGTATCCACGATCTCGTTCTTTCGGTCACTACCCACAGCTCGTGGCCATAGGTGAGGGCAGGGATGTAGATCGTCTGTCGATCTCCGGCTCCCTTCTCCCATCACTCGCGAACAAGACCCCGAGATACTTGAACTCCTCCACTTGGGGCAGGAACTCATCCCCGACCTGGAGTGGGCACTCCACCCTTTTCCGGTTGAGGACCATGGCCTCAGATTTGGAGGTGCTGATCCTCATTCCCGCTGCTTCACACTCGATTGCGAACCGTTCCAGTGCGAGCTGGAGGCCCTCACCCGATGAAGCCAACAGAACCACATCATCTGTGAAAATCAGAGATGAGATCCTGAGACCACCAAAGCAAAAGCCCTCCGCCACTTGGCTGCGCCTAGAAATCCTGTCCATAAAAATTATGAACAGAACCGGAGACAAAGGGCAGCCCTGTGGGAGCCCATCACCCACCGGGAACGAGTCCAACTTATTGCCGGCAATGCGAACCAAGCTCTTGCAACGGTTGTATAGGGATCGAATGGCCCGTAGCAATGGGCCAGACACCCCATACTCCCGCAACACCTCCCACAGGACACCCCGAGGGACACGGTGCCTTCTCCAAGTCCACAAAACACATGTAGACTGGTTGGGCAAACTCCCACACACCCTCAAGTATCCTCGAGAGGATGAAGAGCTGGTCCAGTGTTCCGCGACCAGGACGAAAACCGCATTGTTCCTCCTGTATCCGAGGTTCGACTAGCGGACGAACTCTCCTGTCCAGCACCCTGGCATAGACTTTCCCAGGGAGGCTGAGGAGTGTGATCCCCCTGTAGTTGGAACACACCCTCCGGTCCCCTTTCTTAAAGATGGGGACCACCACCCCGGTCTGCCAGTCCACAGGCACTGCCCCTGATCTCCACGCAACATTGCAGAGGCGTGTCAACCAACACAGCCCTGTCAAGAACTAAAATGTTCGTTATGTTCGGTTAACCTTCAGTGGAAATCAACCATCACAGGTGGTCATGAAGATGGATTATGATTCAGTGAATCCACGATCACCTCAGACCGCGGCACACGGCCCTGTATTTGCTCAGTAATAGTTCTCAGCCTCGTTCAGGCTTCTGATGTGTGCAGAGTTCTGCTGCGACTCTTCATCAATCCAGTGTTACACCACGTTTACTTGAGACTAGCATATTACCACAAAATCTACCTTTCACCAGCCCTTGTTTACATAAAGTACACTCTGTTTTTGAGCGGAAATAAAGTGAGACAATAAAATATTTAAATGTTTAGATTATTTTGACTGTCTGACTGCAGAGTGCTGTATGTTGAACTTTAGTGAGAATGTTTTTTGTTTTGTTTGTTTTGAAGCGTTTATAAATTTTAAATGGCAGCACATAATCACAGCTGTGGTCCTCAGGGGTCCAAAATGTCCCCGTCTGGTTTGATAATTAATATGAAGTGGATTTCCCCCACTTTTAATTAAAACTTAATTCAAACATTTTGACACAATTTCTTTTTTCCATTTCAAATGTAAGTCTGATAAAACCTCATAAAAATGATTTTTTTCTTTGTTTTCGGGTAAAAAATAAATTAAATCATCAGTTATCGTGAGGATCGTTTCACAGCCAGAGTCGGCTGCTTTAACAGATGATCACGGACGGGTTTATGTCAACGTTAATTTAGAAAGCTGTTTTTAAACTACAAGTTTTTTACTGGCAGCAGATAATCACACCCGTGGTCCTCAGGGGTCCAAAATGACCCCGTTTGCTTTGAATGTTTATATTTATCATTGCCTGACAGTTTTCTATATTTTGGCATGGTAGGAGGGCATGGGTCTGAGTGAAGGGAAACTTTCATGAGGACAAAGGCGTGTCCATATTTGACCCAAGTGCAGGAGGAAGCTCAGGTTTATTCCTCTGCACTGGTCCCATCATGGACAGCTTTCTTTCTGCAGTTGCAGGCCAAGGGGCATATACAGTAAACAAGCTGTTACAGGTGATTGTTTTCTTTTGGAAACCTGCAATGTTAGGGACAACTCGCGTGTCCTGACTGCAGGACAGACGGTTTGCCATCGCACACTAGCATGTTCCATGTACAGCTGGACCTGCATCACATGCTGCCCATGTTTTTGTCTCATAGTTCCCTGGTTTACTTGGATGTTCTGTTGGAGGGGACAGAGTCCTCTGAAGGGGACTTGGTGCTCATACAGTCACATCAGTACCAGGATCTTACATCACAGCAGGAGGAACACCCACTTGTTCCATACACCTCACATGGGCGCGTTTTTGTGTTGTGCGCGGTTCTTCTCTTTTGTGTTTTTCTCGAGATTTTGTCCTTTTTGTGCTTCTATGATTAATCTTGTGTCACCTTTAAAACTTCTCTACCAGACTCAGGATGTCATAAACTGGCCGTAGCGACTCTACTGGATGCGCGGCAGTAAGAATCAACACACCCACATATGCCTACAGCTGCATTCGGTCCATTTTTCTTCCTCTCTCGTTGTCCCTCCTTGTTCATCATTGAGTTGGCTGTAGAGCAGGTCATCTGCTAATTGGATGGTTGTTGGTTCAATCTCTGTGTGCTCTAGTCTGGAGTTCTTACCAAGGTGTCCTTGGGCAAGTTACTGAACCCCAACTTGGTCTCTGATGCATCCATTGGCATGTGAACGTTAAAAAGCAGAATACAAGCAGAATACACTGTGTGTAATGCTTTCAGTACTCGAGTAGAAAAGCCACTGAAGGAGTATGGGACCTGGCACATGTGCTTGGACTGTGGTAGATCATCTTTCTCTGAGGCACATGAGAGAGTCATGCATCGTCTGTCACTGGGAAGGTTAGAAGACCAGGTCAGTGTTTCCTCACGTTACTGCAAATATTCCTCTGTCTCAGCCGATTCCTCTTTCCTGCTTGATTCTTTGTCTTCATCATAATTGAAATGGATGATGTGTAGTCCTCTGACACATCTTCTATTTCAGTTTCACATTCTGAAAATTCAAGAAACTTCAAGAAGCCCAGTCACTTTCTCTCCAAGCTCCTCAGACTACCATGTCCTGGATGCCTGAGAACCTGCTTGAACATAGTTCAGATTCTTCATCACTTTTCTTCACTTCATAGCCTTCTTCCACTTCTGCAGGTGGCTGATGTGCTTTTTCAGAGAAAGGGTAGCATGTGCTCTAAATATTGACAATATTTTCTATATCTTCTAACCCTGGATCTTCCTGAACATTGATTCTCCCTCCTCATTATACTAGCACAGCGGTCCCCAACCCCCGGGCCTCGGACCGGTCCGCGAGAGTTGAGGCTCAGGTGTGAAATGTCTGGTTTTCAGGGTTTTTATCGTTTTTACCATTAACTTGGTTTTCCTGGGTCTTTTCACGTGTGTTATGAATAAATCTTTTTTTCAGTACTAGTTTTGTTTTGTTGTATTTATCCGCGACACCTTAAAGGCCGGGCCGTGAAAATATTGTCGGCCATAAACCGGCCTGTAGCGCAAAAGAGGTTGGAGAGCGCTGACCTAGAGGACAATATGTGCTTTGTCCTACTGCTCATTGCTTTGCACAACATGGTAAAAAAAATTAGCTCACAAGCCTCCAGTGCAGCGGAGGCCTGTGAGCTGCTTTCTGTGTTCGTAGGGTCGACCTTACAATACGAAGCACCTTGATGCGACTGTTGTGATTCGGCGCTGTGTAAATACCGTTGAATGTGGAGCGCCGGCCTCCTCTTTGTGCTGCCTGTTGTTGTGGTGGTTATGACCGTTGCTTGACCCCACACATCAGTGATCCGAGATGTTTGACAGCAGTGTGTGAAAATGTGGCCCTTTGCAACACTTTGTGGACGTTTTTGTCCCCGAGGACAACAGACGTTATAAAGTCCAATAAAACCCCATAAATACATCAAATTACTTCAAACTTATTCCAATCATGCACAGCATAGTACTCAACAA